GGTGGAAGTTTTAGAGGTAGTGCTAGTGCTATTAGTAACCTGCGATCAGGGCCATTTTCAGCAGCTTTCATACTTTCTCTCTTACGCTGTCAGGCTAAAATTGAGCCTGACGCACCCTCAACTCGGCTGTACTCCTACGACCACTTGATTGGCTGTTAAATTGTGATTGCCATTCCGAAGGAGAATTTTTGGGAGGGCAGACGTTTCGTAGAATTGTTTTTCGTTTTAGTATGATTTTTCAACATTAACAGTTTGATATATCTTGTGTCTGTGGTTGGCGTGTTCTAATATCTCTTTACTCTAGGACAAGCTCATACTTTATTGATACGAACACTACTATTACATATCTTGAATGGCAAACAATACAAATACCATTCAAGCGTTTTGTTACCTTGAGTGTCACGGCGTGAAACCTGAAAACCGTCATTCAAACTGTCAAGTTAAATTATTCCAATGACTTTAAGAGTCCATCGGGTTACAGAGTTTAGTGGTGGTAGAGGTGGTTGCAGTGGTAGTTGTGGGAGATGCAGAAGAAGTAGCATTGGCTGCAGTAAAAATACTAGATTTTTTCTTTATTTATGCCATTACCACAGCCAGCAAACATTTATCAAATCTTTTTTAATCATAATACTCGTTTACACCCAATACAGATATCAATGAATGTGAAAATAAGAACGATGGCTGTCAACACGAATGCGTGAATATCCCAGGAAGCTATTACTGTAAATGCAAAACAGGATTCAAAATTCCATGGTACGACGGAAGTAGAAGAAACTGCATTGGTAAGCAACGAAATGAAATCATTAACTTTCCATAAACATACACATATAACGAGCCTGAGCTGTTTTGTAAACTGTGTTATCTCTAACGAAACATATGTCGACACATATTAGAATTATCATGTTTATTATTATTATTGTTGTTGTTATTTTTTTTTCAAAAATGACCAAAATGAAATAGAATAAAATTAAATATTACAACTTAGCTGTACATGAAAATGATGAAAGTATCAAAACGCCAGGTAGTCATCATACTTCAGATACTTTCTTAAAAACTGTCACTGATCATGAATGTTTTCCTTTTAGTATAATTTTGTAAAATCAACAGTTTGATATATCGAGACATTTGTCCGTGGTTGGCGAGTTATATTATCTGTTTACTCAAGCTCTCACTCCGTTGATATGTTCCCTACGTACTGTACATGTGATCCAGGCAAAGAATGTAAAATACCATTCAAGCGTTTTGTTATCTTGAGTGTCACGGCGTTAAGACCCTAAGACGGTCATTCAGACTGTCAAGTTCAATTTTTCCAATAAGTTTTGGGAGTGATTCATTTTACAGAGTTAAGTGGTGGTAGAGGTGGTAGTAGTGGAAGTAGCAGTAGCAGTAGCTACAGTAAAATACAAGACATTTTATTCAATATATAATGTAAATGCGCATGTCAGTGCTACAGCCAAAGCCAACATTCTCAAATCTTTTTTAACTATAATCATTGTTTGCACCCAATACAGATATCAATGAATGTGAACATGAGAACGGTGGCTGTCATCACGAATGTGTAAACACCCCAGGGAGCTTTTCTTGTAAATGCAAAACAGGATTCGTACCAGCATCGTTCTACAGAAAATTCTGCATTGGTAAGCAACGGAGAGGGTGGAATTATTAGAGATGCATCTGCTTAATGTTGGATACTTAAAGGATGACAATTACATTAACAACACTTACCTGATTGTTGCATGACCATCATGTATCAAAAGAAATAAAGTGGTGTATCGTATTGTTGTTGTTGTTGTTTTTGCTTTTTGTTGTTGATGTTGTTTTTGCTGTTGTTGTTTTTTGCTGCCTTTCTTGTGTTTCTTTTTCTTCTTCTTTTCCCTTTTTTTGGTGTTCAACATTCCTTTCCGTAAGTTATTGACTGTTTCTATTATATATTCCCTACGCAGACCTAAATGAATGTAAACAACACAATAAAGGTGGATGTAGCCACGACTGTGAAAATACCTTTGGAAGTTATCATTGCAAATGCCGAACAGGTTTTCAGTTGTACAATAGGACGACCTGCAATGGTAACATTTATTGCAACTGTGATAAGACAAAAATTATTAACTGTTATTAAAATAATCTTGGAGGAACTTAAATATGTAGTAATCTTAAAAATAGTGGTAGTGGAAGTATTAACTTGACACCAGACACAGCTTTAGTAGCCTTGCTCATACATTCTCACTGAAATTGATCATTACTATCTTAATAATCCTCGACATTTTATTTGATAGGACTGAGTATCGTCTGCATATCATAACTCTTCATATAAAACGAAAACCGATTTCAATTTATTTAGTGTTTTATTCATTCAGTCTATTAAACTAATGTAAGTGTACAAGCCCAAGACATGATTACGTAGCATGTAAAATTCCCCATCTTCAAAATATTTGCCTACCTCTCGCAGTTTTCGGCATGTGAGGGCAGATAACAGGGACCTTAAGCATCGACAACGAAACGGACGACGACGCTTCGTAACCGAGGCACACTGGGCCAAGGGTTTCGTTTTCGTCGGGGAAAACAAAGTTTAAGCAGTGCAGCTTTCCAGACAGACGACGACTTTTTCTTTGCGAAGACGTTTGTCTTGTTACAGTACAAGAAGTCTTGTTATGGCATTCAAAGGCCTCCGCAATTTGGATCTCATAAGCTATGACGATGGTTAAATCGACGATGGCGAATTAATTGTTCTTTCCCACCTGTATTAGTCGATTTTGGAGGCTTTCTCTTCGTCGCTCAGCTTTTGTTTTTGTTTTGATGTTAAAGTGAATCACGATCTCGAACAGCTCTTGACTTGCAGTTACTCCAAATTTCGGCTGCTGAAGAGAATTCAGTGCTGCTGCAATGTTCTCCCATATTTGTCCCCTGTCAGGGCTCCTCATAACCACATCATGTTCTGGAGTCCACTGGAAATAGTTGCCTTTACCAGCGGCTAAAAACAACATGGGAAATTATTAAATTTTTGTACGAAAAATGAACATTTATCCTTTAGTACAACCTAAAATGCACGGGGAAACATAGATCGTTGGGGAACGAACAGCATCTAATCTAACAGGTTGGGGTGCTGAAAGAGGAAAGCTTACTTGCCTTTCCGACTGGTTGTTCCGCCATCACTCAGGTTTTCAAACAAACCGAACCTGAAAAATAAATTCAAGTTAGCGGGCGAAAAAATCGACAAAGTGCTTAACATTTGGATTCTGCTAATCTACAAAGAATACATTTCTACTTGTTTTGAATGACAAGGGAGAAAAAGAGTGATTTACACGCAAAAAGTATAGTTTTATACTTACGTTTTGGCGACGACTGCAAACCTCCTTGAATTTCGTCGTCGACGAAAACTGGACGACGTTTTGACAACCTTACGCATACCCAGAAGGTTCGCGCGGGAAAATTTCACTTCCGGTCGGTATCGTCGTCCCATTTCGTTGTCGATGGGTCACTAAGGTCCCTAATCCTCATATTGCAGTAGGCTCATTCTTCCAGTAGAAGTTTATGTGCAATTTTGCTTTAGTTGTGAGGCAGTATTTCGACTATTTTTTAACTCGTGGGTACGCGCGAGCGTACCACGAGTTATTGCAGGGACAGGGATATGCAAGTGAGTCACTCGCTCACTCGTAGTAGACGCACTTCGTAATTAATCGGGTCCGAACTCGAGAGCGCGAAGATCTATCGTTTCCAAAGAAGCACGCGCTCGGCGAAGTTCGGTAGCATCAAATTCCTCTCTAAGAGCATGCATCGTGCGCTACAGCACGGTTAGAGGATAGAGGTCTTACCAAATTGAAGACACGCAGGAATCTTTCAGACTAGTACGATTCAAGAGCCTTTGACTCGTCCAGGCGTTAAACTTGACGAGAAGATGAGCATTTGCTCTTCGACTCCTTCAACTTCGACTCTGGCTTGATCTCCTACCTTGTAGTAATGTAGTAGGTTATGTGTATGAATGAATGTATGGTAAATAAAGGCACTTCTTTTTCTTCTTAAGGACTCCCCAAGATCACGGAGGAAATGGATGTGATTTTGAGCATTAGCTTTAAAATGACAGCGGAAATCGAGATAAGAAAACATAAGGTTATGTTTTGCGTCCTATTTTGCGGAGGAGTTCTGTCGGCTTTGTATCGCATATGTTCTTTCATTGCCATGAAATGCGTTTACATTATTTTTTACTGTCAGTAGCCTGGTTTCAATTAGCCTTAATTTCGTCCGATTGCTTCGAGTCGTTTTTTCAATTGGTTAAGTATGGCTCGATCGTTTGCCGGCGGAAGTTCCATGGAAAAGGCATTAAATCTGAGAGTTTTCACGAAATCGTTTGATCGTCCTCAATAGCGTAGTGGCTATGTGAAGTCGGATCAACCCGTATTTTAGGTTGGTTTATTAGACCTGAAAAAAAAAAAAAAAATATTAATAGCAGGTAAGTGATGTTTTACCAAAATAAAGACAGATGCTAAAACTAAACGTTATTTTGTAAGCAAATAACCGCTTCTATTTTTTTTTAATTTGTTCATGGTTTATTAATTATTATTGTTTGTAATTTTGTAACAGCGTTCCCCAAAACCATATAAACTCTTAATTTTTTTCACGATTTCTGTGATATTCCTACAATAGGCAAACACAGTGATTTTCGAATTAGCTCCTTCCAAGTAGTGGATGCATGACGAGTTTTACAGTTTAAAAGAAAAACTGAAAAATTTTGGAGTTTATATGATTTTGGGGGACGCTGTCACAAAATTATAGACGTTTGTATGGATCTTTAACCGTGTTTCAAGAATCATAACTTGATGACTGTTCAACTTTAGGGCACCAAACTTGGTCAGATGACCAATCTCAACATGACCTTTTGTATGATGGTGTCAGTTTATCGATTAGTTGAAATTTGAAACACGCCCCAGTTCCCTACGCAACTCCGAAATGGCTAATTATAATGTCCTCTTAATAGAGGGTGTCCGCTTAATAGTGGGTTTTACTGTATTTCAATTTGGTGTCTCCCAGATATCGATGAATGCAATGAGAATGTTAAAAACAACTGCAGCCATTTGTGTATCAATAGTGCAGGAAGTTACTACTGTAAGTGTCCAAATGGATTCCAAATGACTCAAGACAACAAGACTTGTAAATGTCCAAAAGGTTTTCTGGAGTCGGTCAATAGGACAATGTGCATGGGTAAGTAATAACACAAAGACAGTCGCAGGTCAAAAAGAGGACAACAGCTAATGATATATATGCGACCTTTTAGTCAAATTGATTCCACCGTCTTCGTCGTCCTTATCAACGGCAACAACAGTTTGCCCCCCTCAAAACATTAAATCGGACTTGAGACCAATTGCACTTACTAGCTGTCTAGCAAAAGTACTAGAAGGATTTACAAACAAAAGACTTTTCGGACAAGAGTCTGGTACTATTGAACCACGTAAATATGCGCGTCATGGGCACTCTACAGTGCACGCATTGATTTATTTAATGCAAGCTATACATGAAGCTGTTGATTCAGGAAAATGCTCTGTCAGGATATTTTTTGCAGATTTTACTAAGGGTTTTGATATCATAGACCACCCCATATTACCAGATGAACTCAGGTCTTTTAACATCGATCAAACTCCGTTTTTTTTGGATTCGCTCCTTCCTTACCAACCAAACACAAGCAGTGCGCGTCAGCTCCTCTCTGTCATCATGGAAACAAGTCAATGGTGGCGTTCCACAGGGAGCAAAACTCTGATTAACGCTCTTTGCTATTATGGTAAACAAGCTGCTCTTGAATTGGCATATGCGTACGAAGTATCTCGATGACACTACTGCATTTGAGATTATCCCAAGAAACTCTATTAGTATGCTAGATGTAGTTGTCAGAGGAATCCATGACTATTGTATTGAACACAAGATGAAACTAAATCCCAGAAAATGTAACGTAAATTTCATGAAGAATTCGATTACTACAATGTGACCCATAAGTCTTGGAAAATTAAGAAGTAGAGCGAGTAGGGTCGTATAAGCTTTTAGAAGTTATAATTAGCGATGACCTTAAATGGAACGCTCACGTTGAATATGTAATTGCCAAGGCGGCTAAGAGATTGTACGCTCTCAGGTTGTTGAAGCGCGCGGGAGTCATGCCGGAAGACATGCTTAAGGTATACACATATAACATCAGATCGGTCTTAGAGTATGCTATGCAAGTATGGCAAGATGTTCCTGCATACCTTTCAGACACTATTGAATCTATACAAAGAAGATCCTTAAGAATAATATTTCCAAACTCTAGTTATCAACAGGCCATAGACCAAGCAAATTTGACATCGTTAGCAGATCCCAGGATATTTATATGTAAGAAGTTGATGGCGGATATGAGGAATGAGAGCACCCCCATATCTTTCTTAACTCCGCAAGTTATGACAAGATCTATCCCATGTCAGTTGAGATCAGGAAATACTAAAACCACTACAATGATGAAAAGGACAAAGAGAGCAAATGACTCTTTTACTTTTAGGTTTTCTTGATTCCAATTATTATTGTAATACTTATTATTGTAAATAGACTTAATTATTAGTATCCAATTGTAAATTACACTGTTTATTCAGTTTTTAACTCCCAGATATGTTAATAAACTATTATTATTATTATTATTATTATTATTATTATTATTATTATTATTATTATTATTATTATAAGAACGGCAAAAAAACAATAGGTTTAGATTGGCAAAACTACAACTTTGCACGTGTATTACGCTTTTTTGTACATCTCTTTGCCGTCGTTGCACGCCTGCGACGTGAAACTGCCTAATTTTACGTTTTGTAGAGGACGTGAACACAAGAAAACAACTTTCTTTTTCTTTTTCTTAACTTCGATACAGTCCTTTAGAATTAAACTCCAGAAAAGTTCGCCAAAATTTGACGAATTGAACGAGATGGAATAAGCGCGATAAAGATTAAAGTAGCGCGAATTCACTTTTTAAGTGACGTTTTTGTGCCGTCGTCGTCGTTGTTGCTTAAGCTCCCTATTAGGGAACTTAAGAACCACGACGAAGTTCACGACGACGCTGTCTGTTGACTGGGAAAGGACTGGAACGGGAACGTCAGATTCGGCGGGAGAAAGGAAACTGCAGATGCAGTCGGTCAGTAGCTCGACGACGACGTTGAATGTATACAGCAGTGTTCTCACCAGGATTTTGCCTTGGGGAGTCCCAGGGCCCCCTCTTCTGAGAAATAGGGACCCTGTAAGAACATTAGGGGGACAAAGTTACAAAAAACACGCGGTACGAAGAACCTGAGCCCGCAATCCAAATTGTCTGTTACATGAAGTACCTACCTGATCCAATATGGTGGAAGAGGTGTTTACGATTCGGAGGAGGAGTTTACGATGTAGTGGGACGTGCGTGGGACCAATGAAAGTAACGGCAACAAAATTAAAGACTTTGACTCATCTGATATCATGTTTTTGATTTATTCAAACAAACAGAATGCTTTAGTCCGTTTGACTCGTAGCTTGCCCCTGCGCCCTAACGGGCGCATCTTCTTGGTTTTAATGCGCTATTTCAGTTTTTCATGCGGGAATCCCGCAAGGCCGCGGCCTGGTGAGAACACTGTATACATAAAAGTAAAACTTTTTATTTATAATTTTTTCAATGGAATTTTGGTTCACAACGGCAAACAAAACACACATTCGCCTTCAGGCTTTGAGGAACTTATTCAGTTTCACGAGGTGTTCGGATCAATTGCTCGAATCGAGCAAGAGACATGTCACTCGTCTGCAATCACGTGTTCGCTGTTTTTTTTTTTTTTTTTTTTTTGTTTTTTTTTTTTCCCCCCCGGTAACACTTTTTTCCAATTAAATGCCTTGCTATAGCTTTTTTCCTTTTTATTTTTTTTTCTTCTATTTTAAAAATAAGTGCCAAAATACTTACCTTTGCTTCATAAGTGATAATAAAACTAACACTTAACTCGTTTTTTTTTTTTTTTTTTTTTTGTTTTGTTTTGTTTTTTTCCACCACGGAAACACTTATTTCCAATTAAGTGCATTGCGAAAGCTTTTTTCCTTATCAATTTTATTTCCTCTATATTAAAGATAAGTGCCAAAAAATTTACCTTTGCTTAATAAGTATAAATAAATCTATCACTTACGCGGTTGCTCGCTCGGCCTCCACAGCTGTTGTCATTCTTCAAAGTAAAACAATTCATTAGTCGAATTTTCAATCAACATCGCTTGTTAGAGTAGTAGGAAACTATTAGTAGCAACACAGTTTCAGGTATAGCCATCTTGACTTCTAAGCTGTGATCTGCCAAGTAACATTTCAACAAAGATATAACTGTAGCATGTTTGTCTCTAAAGAAAAATTTTAGTGAAACTGAAAAATAGCATCTCACCATCATATTCCGAAAAAATTTCTTCACGTTATTGTGGGTAAAAAAAGGTGAAGCAGCAGTTGTTTAGAATATTGTTGAAATGATGGACTCATTTGAAAATGTACTTCTTGTCACACGATGTCATAAATTTACGTTTACGGCAGCCACGTGGTCTTGTAGTTAACGTTATCGTAGGTCAATGATTGTCCCCCCCGCCCCCCAACCCTCTCCCATCTCAGGTTACATAGGGCTATCCGCCATTTATAGTATCTATAATATATGGTTTTTAACGGTACATTTACGTAGTCTTCCCAGAGGATACGAATTTCTAGCCCGTGTCGCAGACACTCTAAACCGCTTGATGTCAGTTAGACGATGCGTAAGCCAACTGCAACGCTAACTAACAATTCCTCATCAACGTCTTATGACGAGAGTAAAATGAAATTTTAATTATGATTTCAGATTGTGGAATGTCACTTCATAAGGAGAACTTAACATCGGCCGATCTTCGTCGCGTTAGACAAAGTCAGCTTCGTGGACGCTTCCCATGGGGTACATCAGTAAAGACGTTTTTCCAGATCGACCTCAGTAAAACCTATAGGTTCAAAATCACGGCTATAGCTACTCAGGGAGGAGCGAACGTGAACAACCGGGTGAAGCGATACGGACTTCGCTTTTTCGTTGGTTCAAAGCCAGTTCCTTATACAGAGTCTGGTATAGAAAAGGTTGGATATAGTTATAGACCTTTAGGGCCAGTTATTTGAACGGAGTTTATACCGTGTTTAACAAAACCACGTTCTAAGCCATTTTCATTTTGCCCAACGTTTTTATGTAAATACTATTTTTCGTGAACAATTTGAACAAAGCATACAGCGTAGACTGGAAAAGTACTTATATTCTTAAATTAACTCCTCAAGAAAGAGATCTGCAGGTCCAATGATTTCTTAAACCGCGGCCTAAGTTAGATTTCGCTTTAATAACCGACCCCTTAAGTTTAATGCACACGCGAAGCCCCTGCTGAAATTATTTGTCTTGCTATAGCAAGTGAGATGAAGGCTTTTTCTTCTCCTTAACTTACTATAAGAGGTTTGGCCAGCAATAGGACCCAACAAGACAAGGCAATGTTCATTTGGAGTCTTATACCGTCAACTAATAGGAACACCCGACTTCATCCAAATAATTAGAGAACTATCAATTGACAGGGGGTGATATATATCCCCCATCCCCATCCCAGAAAAAAAAAGGAATGGAAAAGAAAAACAATGCACCTAATAGCCCAGAATATTTTGAGTAACCATTTATACTTTAATCCTGGAATTTTACTAAAATGAACCTAGTCCGTTTATATTAGGGCCTGTGTAAGTAAAGTACACTTGTTAAGAGCAAAAGAGGAAATCAGTAGCTATACAATCAATTTAACGTTATTATACATAACTTTGGATCTTTCCAGTAAAGAATTGTAAGTTCCTTTTCTTATTTTCTTATTTATTTTGTAGTGTAAAGGGCTATGTTACAGGGATATTGCTGTCTTTGGTTTTTGTCAGAGAAGCACAAAATGCTCATAGTTATGAACCAGATACCACTAACCCTAATTATCATTCGATGCAAATGTTTCTTCCTTTTCATTGGCCGAGAGCCCACCACGTGACCTGCAAATAACTGCCTACAAATAATGGCGTGCGCGTGCGCAATGTCGTTCAACTGTTTTTTGGCTGCAAATACTATTCTGCTCATGCGTAAATGAAACCACGCTTTTCTCCTTGCGATCGCTCTTGCGTGAAAATGGCAGATCGCTTCGCTTCCCGAAGATATTCCTTAGAAAACAAACTCGGTGATCGAATGATAAAACAATTATTGAACTCGGATATCGCAAAATATCGTGACTGGCAGTGTCTCGTAGATCAATTATTTCCTTCAGCCTTCGGCTTCGGCAAATAATTGATCTGCTCGCCCCTGACAAATCACGATATTTTGCTCAACCTCGTCCAATAATTGCTAATTATTTTGCAGGCATAGTTTCAAAACCAGGGCCCTTTTTTCAAGTTTCAATCCATGCCTATCCGTTACTTTTATCAAGGGCTAAATATGAGCTTAAATGACAAACTGGGCCATAATTCTAGGAATTAAATTGATGCGAAGACTCATTTTTCATTCGCTTTTTAAACAGGCTGCAAATAGCGTGACATAGCCCATTTACTTTTTTGGTCTGTTTGTTGTTGTTGATATTGTTGTTGTATTGGGAGGGTTGTTTGTTTCAACCTTTTAGTTACTTTTTTGATTGTTCTTTTTTTCTGTATTTCCATTTTTCAAAGGTCATAAACAGTAATGAAGACGCTTACTCTGTTGTAAAGTACCATTTCAAAGAACCCTTTGTTACCAAAACTTTACAAATTTTCCCGGATGTTGACACCTCGAAGGTGGTTTACTTAAGAACAGAAATATATGGATGTCTTCCCACTCCTGGTAATGTTATTATCATAGTGTGTTGATAACGCATGATTTAAAGTTGCTCGATAGGGTTTTTCAGGGGCAATACCTCCCAAATCTCAGCCCAAACTACCATTAAAAAATGCACACACTACGTGGGATGCAACGTAATTTCGCATGTTTCCAATCAAACAGCAGGTTCTCGACATTAAGACCCTTATCCTTATGGTAGTACTATCGAGGTCGAACTCCATGGCTGCCTCTGCAGTACGATATGGCTAGCTGTGCACATGCAATATAGACTAATAGCTACCGGCCAAACTGCAGAGTTTCAAGTTTGCTACTTACTGAGTTGCTGTCTTGGTTAAATTTGGCCTCAAAATAAAGACTTCTCTTTGGGATAGTAGTTTCACTTATTAAAATTATTACCTCGGATGGAGGCATGGCATTTTCTCTACTCCACAAGAACGAAAATTTATTCGATATGAACAACGAACCGTTTGCAATAGGCCACTTCGGAGTTGCAAAAACCCTCACTTTCAAAATGAGGCCTTTCTTATGAAAATGATTTTATTTCCATGAGAATGAAAGGTCATTTCTACATCAAAGGCTGAGCACTTGACCTCTTTTTGATACAGAGGCTCAGGGGAACTCGGAAATGGCCTTATTATGTTACCCACGATTAGCAGGGCTATTCTAGATGGATAATAATAAAATAATAACACAAAGCTCTGTGGAAAATAAAACAAATGAAAAATAAAATATAAGCAAAGAAAATAAAGCAAGGAAGCTCAAGGGAAAAAGGAAAAAAGGCAAACAGCAATGCACTCAATTTAAATTTCAGTATTTCAATTCGACTTCCAAAGTGTTAAGAAGAATATTGTGGCACTTAAGGTATGTTATCGTAAAGTGTTTTCAAAGTAAACTAAAATTGTTTAGTTCTTTTGTTTAATCTTTTAATCTTAATGTATGGTATAAAGAAGCACGCCATTCCATTACTACCATGGTTTTTTTTCTTCATTTGGAAAAAAACTTGCGTCTGTTCTGGTTTTCTTTAGATTGTATCCTGGTTGGTTCAATGTTTTGGGGACTGTGGTCGCAAAGAGATCTATCAAATAATTACTACAGGGCCTTCATCTCAGGGATAAATGACACTCACATTGAGTTCATCTTGACATTCAGGCACGATTTCAAACAAGTATACAAACGGACTGATCCAGTACTTATAATAGATAAGGAGCCAGAAAAGAGGGAAATGTCAGTCAATACATCAGTTATAGCTGTTCACAAACCTGCAAGGCCAGAGTGGTACCGAACCGGTACCGTGATAAATACAGCTACTTCAGAAATGGGTGAATTCTCAGTTAGGTTTGATAATGGTGATTTAAGACTGGTTCCTCTACAACAGCTTTGCTTAGTTAAACGTCCACGATTTTGTTAAGTAAAGCATCTAACAATATAGCGCATAAAAAATTCTCAACGGATTGCGGCATGATTGTGCTAACATGTATGAGGGTCTTCCTCTTATTGTTGGGACAATTACGCACTCTCCTGTTTGATTATTATTGTGGTGAGGTATTAGCAATGGTAATAGGACTGAGTGAAGTACAATTCAGGGAGTCAGATACGTAATTTCAAATCGGCCTCGCGTTTCGCGCTCGGCCGATTGGAAATTAACCCCTGAATTGTGCGACACGGAATTCTATAAAAGTTCAATATTCAAGACGTTAATTGTGTCAATAACAAAATGCGAGAATCTCAGTCTTGGAAGATTTATTAATGTAAATAACCGTCACTAGACCAGTTAGTCTCATCCATTTTTCTTTTCCAGTTGAAGCTGGCCCGCTTAACTTGTCGCTATTTTTTCATTGATTTTGATTGGTTATGTGCTATGTAGTTAAATTTCATTGGCTATTGGCATTTGCTGCTTGATTTTCATTGCTTCTTCAACTGTCCAGTTTGACCTGTCCGATTACGCGCGAGCTCCTGATAATCGGACAGGTCAAAACGCACAGTTTTGAGGTTACAATAGCAAAATTAAGCTATAAATACGGGCTGTTAAGAACCAATCATATTCAAGCATTTTGCTATGGACACAATTAGAGAGATTATAGAAGTGAAGCACTATGAATATATAAAGCACTAAGCACTATGTAATTAAATGAAAGAAAAGAAAAAGTTCATTCAGAGCCAATAGGTTAATTTCATTTACCAGCAAATAAGAAGTAAACAACTGAAATTAATCTTTTCTTTGGCCATTGGTATCCGCAGATTTCTTTGCAACGACTTATAATTTGTTTTTAGCGAATTATAAGTCATGTTAACCGAAGCTTCGCTTTTAGTCTTGGCTAAATATGAAATATTGAGAGGAAAAATTCCGTGGGAAGGAAGGGACTTTTGCCAGCTGATTATTGAAAAGAAGAGAAATTATATTCTGTACTCGTGCGTATCCTTAGAAATCCAATCGTAAACCTATATAGATAAAAAAGAAACAAACAGGATAGCCAAGGATAGTTAGAAAAGTTATTCCTTCTTCACATACCTGAGACGAGATAGTGAAATGGATGTAGTAGATAAGAAATAAAAACCTCAAAGACTTAACCGCTCGGTAAGCCTAAAAAAAAATAATACAAAGACATGAGTAGCCATGAAATGGGGGCGCAAAAGACCACATTTAACAACTAACACCACCACTGCTTTCGAGCCAGAAAGTGACCATAGGATTTAAGAAGAGTACTTCATCTCCCGTTATCTATGACACATGGTCTTAGGAATCGTACTTGTGATAGGAAACAAAGAGGACAAGGTCCCCAAATCAATTCAAGGCTCAGTGACCTAACCCGTAAAAATAAACGCCTGTAACATCAATGCACTACTTGCGACTAAAAACATTATCTCTTAATATTTTAAAAATCCTACCATTTTACGGTGATATCTCCGTTGTCAGAGGCAGCAGCACAACTACTGCAAAATAAACTTCAAGTGCCTTTTTCGTGATGTTTCTTGATATTTCTTCTACCATTTTATGGAGATGTAAACTTAAGTCACCGCAAAATGGAAACTTAAAAAGCGTATAATCCATTTATCTCGAAACATAATACACATGACTTATACGAACTTTATTTTCCTAATGGTGTTTTGAATACGAACGAACACAGTCAATGTGAGGGGCAAAAACAGCATTAATATGAATGAACCATCGGGTTTAATTAATATAAGGGTCAATTATTGTGCATTGAGATGAATCGCTTGAAAAGAGAGACTTCCTTAAAGATGTGATTAGAAGCAAACAAAGGCACAATAGTGCGTCACGTTCAGTCTTTTTAATATCCAAGGACTGTGAATAGTGTTTCCATATTGTTTAGCTGGCACAAAAACTTCGGAGGAGTTATAAAAAGCGGCATAGTTATCTTCCATGAAGAAAAGTTAGTCATGGGTAAGACAAACAGTTAACTCGAGCGAATTTTTAACTCATATCGGCATCAGGATATGTATATGTTATCGATCGTTTCATCTATTTACATTGTTTGAAGTGCGTGCTGATGAACGCAACATGCGAGCGAGAAATCTTTAAACTTTTTTAGGTCACAAAATGCAAAGCATTTTATTCCTTTAAGTTAGAGAAAAATACCAAGAGGAAAGTCTTAAAACTGAATATTTTTTATCTTGCGGAAAAAATAGTGCGTTTTCAGGGGCGTAGCCAAGATTTCTAGGAGGGGGGGGTTCCAAATTGGTTCCAACGAAAACGGTTGTTCTAAAATCCTTACGTTACGTGCGTACAAGACTTTGGCGTTTACGCTACGCAAACAGAAGACGCCTTGGTTGCGCGAACGTGTTTATCACTTCCTCGATATTTACGTCTCGGTGGCAATCGATGCTCATCAACGCCAGTCCAGACTCTCGCTCGCTTGACATGGTCGACCTCAGGTATGTTTTTAACCTTCTTAGTGTACTGAATGAGCGCTCACATTCAGCTGACGTTATCGGCAACGTGCACAAAATGCGGATCAAGGTGTGGATGTTAGGAAAGAACTCTCGATCGCATGCTGCGAGTGTCTGAACTGCACTGGTGGGAAGGTCGGCTTCCTCGGTGCTGCATCACTTTCTCTCCCATCGCAGGAGCTCAACATCAACCACATGAGGAGAAGGAAGGTCGTTCTCATAAAACTACAGGGCTGCTTCAATGTCAGGATTTCTGTCTCCGACGGCTACCAGCTCAGGAAGAAGATTAAAGAGGCTGGACAAGACAACATTATTAGTAGGATTGAAGTATGTTTTCATCTCTGATTGTAGATGGTCTAGAAGGGGAATAGCAACTGCCCTCTTATAGTAATCAGATGGTGTCTGGGCTGGCACATTGTCGCGATGCTGCTGCTGATTGGTCCGGCGCGGGATGGAAGGCACAACGTTTACATTTGCCGTGGTAGTGACCGCCAGATCGAAACACTCGGTCCAGATGTCTTCGATGTTATCTAGGATGTCCTGGAGATCGTCCGTAACATTATTACTGTTAGTGTACGCCTCGTAGACATCTAGATCTCTCTTCTGAAGTTTTACACTCAGGGGTTTCAGGACGGAAAGGCATTTCATTGCCGTCAACAAGGTGATTAGAAAAGAAAAACTCGAAATGGCGTTCGCAAGTCCACTCGCTTTATTCTTGGTGTCTGTGTCCCAGCTCCATCCTGCGTCTCCATATTACCTCAAGCGCTCGCATGATACACGAGAAGAGGGCGAAGAAAACCTCGTAAGCTTCGTGTCTCTCCACCCATCGCGTCTTGCACATGTTCTTTAATGTTGTTTTCTTCGCGCCCGTCCCGACTCTGCTCATGTCTCCGAAAATGCAAATGAAACGCAAATAGATACCACAATGACGTTCACTGTACTTATGGTAAGCATAGAACAAAACGAAGAATTTCAGGAATCGAGAGTCCATTACACTCTTGCTGGGATAAAATCACTGTTAAAAATAGGAGAGGGGGTGTTCCTTGACGCGAAAGGGGGGGGGGGGGGTCCGGAACCCCTGGAACCCCCCCCTGGCTACGTCCCGGGTTTTCATGTGGGGGAGACCGCAAATTGGGATGGTCTTTTTACTGCCCGTTTCACAAACATGCGAATTCTAAAGTTCAAAACCCAACCGCCGATTGCGTTTTTCCCCGCTGTCAATCATCTTAACGGCCCTCTTA